ACCCAAGACCTCCGTTCTGAGGATCTGATGGAGCAGCAGCCTACGGACTGGGGCTACACCCGAGGCCGCAGGACCGCCTGGGCCCTGCACGGCTCTGTCCAGCTGCGAAGACAGGCCGTTCACTCGCACGACCTGCGCAGGAAAGAAGCGTCCAAATCAACCGCGAGATGCACACAGATCTGTGAGAAGTTTAGGGCTAAAACAAGGCGACACAGAAGTAGCCCCTTCCACTTAAGAGGAAGGTTTGCAGCGGCACATCTGAACAAGGATTTGTGACGGTTTGTATTAGGAAGCAACCTGAAGGGGCACTCTGCCTCAAATGCAGCATTGAGCATCTGCTCACCTGTGCTTTGCGCTGAACTCTGATCTCGCCGTCCCCGCTCACAAGATCAAGTTTCAGTAGAGTCTGAGTCAGCAGCTCATGTAAGAGCGTGATTTGTTGCTGAGCGGGAGTAATGCCAATCACAGCACTCTTGACAACCACTTCAACCTGCGCACCAACCAGAAGGACACGTGATGGAACCTGGGAAGCTTTTGATGGTGGCGGATACGACAGCAAAACTGCAGATGACAGTCAGCATGTCAGCTGTTATGACAAAGGTAAGCTTTCCCACGGGGTTTCATCTTGAGGAAAACAGCAAGTTCCACGATCCAGTTCTAAAAGAGAAGACCTTCTCAAAGATACACATCCCACCAGATTTTCTTTTGTAATTCTTAGAATCAGTCAGTAGTGCAGATCTGCCCTAACCGAGCTCCAACTGCCAACCTTAGAACCCTGATTGAGCAGGTTCCTTGCAATGGGAACATCCATGCTCAGCCCGCTGAGGTCATCTTACCTGCGCTGCAAGAGCATCAACTTCACTGCTGATTGTGGCCAAAGACTGCAGCGCCTTCTGCTCTGCCAGCGTCATTTCACCAATTGGGCCACTGCCCCCTCAGCTGATGATCAGAGATAATAATCTATTAGCAGCTGCTCAGGCAGGGGTTCAACGAGGCACCCTCTCAAAAGCATCTGTCCAGGCTAAGCCAAGAAAGTCGACTCGCAAGTTACTGACGGAACACCCTCAAAACCCAGCGGGACTTGCAATGGCTCCAGTTTCCTGCGCAACCTTGAAAATCCTTTCAACCTCGCTCCCTTGGCCCCAAGCAGCAAGGATCGAGGCTTCTCTCTAGCATTCCAGCTAACACAAAAGTAAGTGTTGGAAACCTGCATAGCAATGCTGCAAAATGCTTCTGCAAGAGGGTCGACGCCGTTCGCTGTTCAGCATCATTGGCCAGCCAGTTTTGAATGCAAGCCCTCTAGCAATTCAAAGCCTTAGCTCATAGCTGAGAATGAGCGCCAGCACACGCCTCTGATCTTGGTTCTGAGAATTGCAACTGACCTTCTTGCAAGTGCCTGCATGTGCTTTGAACAGCTTATGGGCACAATATTCCCAGATGCAACTACCGCACTGCCCACAGCAGGCAGCCACAACACAATCTCACAGCTTGAGAGATCTAGCTGTAGAGCCGTGACTGCCTTTACTCACAGCAAGAGCACAAGCTTGAAGGACACGGCCTTCTGTTGCTGGACGATTGACGTACAGAAAAGGTTCAGAGACGTGCCACCAAGCTGGACCCGCGTCCCCAACTTCAAGGCACCATTTCAATTTGTCAGGTTGAGCGCATGATCGCGCATCGCCAGTGCTTCTTTCACTGGCAGTGGCGCAAAACGGACCAAGAAGCCGAACATTTTTGGGAATTGAATGCTCGTCGACGCACGGCAATTTCAACCGGGCAGTGCTCATCGGGCACAGCCGAGTGACTTTGGTGGGGTTGGTGGGCGGGTTAGGGTGGGCTGGGGTGGGCTGTGGCGGAACGACTTAGGGTGTTGGTTAGGGTTAGGTCACCGTATTAAGGTTTTAGTGTAGGTCGGAGGTTTCCCCGGTAGCAATGTGGCCCGGTACAGAGACCGTGCTGTGGTGGGTACCTTAGCTTGCATCGGTACTTGAAATCAAGCCCATGCGCGGTACCCACCTCTTTTAGACAAACGCCGACTTCCGTGCGGTTCCGGAAAATGTTTGGTGGCAGTGGCAGAATCAGAACCGTGTCGCAAAACTATCAAAGTAGACTCCTTTTGTTAGTGTCTCCGCCACTCTGATTGGTGTGAATCACTCTCAACCCACCTGAAAGCACCTGAAGTGTGACAATTATTGCAGTATGTCAGTGGTTACGGGAGTGGTCACAACGTTGACAATGAGACTGACATCGACATTGACATCGACGTTGACATTGACATTGACCCGGGGCACTTACTTTGACATTAGGGTTACGTTGCAAACGTGTGACGGTTCACGCCAATCGACCAGCGCTTTGTTAGGGTTACGCCATTTCCCAGTGACATTAGGTTTACTCACTGACAGTGACGACCGGGCAGAGTTCTTTTAGTTTTAGTTTTGTAGGCCATTTATCCTGACCCGGTCCCATCCGTACTAGAATCCGTACCGCAGAGCGTACGGTAAAACCTGAAATTCTGACGCATTTTTGTTCAAAGGACCTGAGCTGACAGTACGGTCCACGCGGATACCCTGTGAACCTATGATCCCGCGTGTACGTAAGATGTTTCACACTTTTTTGGAGCCTGAGACACTAACAAAAGGAGTCTACTTCGTCGTACTTGCGCAACAGTGTCATGTCCGGAATCTTCTTCCCACACGATCCAACTAGATCGAGAAGGCTCTGCTGTGACCCACAATAAAAATATGGAGTATTCATGATTGTTACCGCTGGTCCGGGGCGGCGGGCGGCCCGCCCGCGCGGCCGACTGGGCCGGCCGCCACGGTTGGCCCGGTCAGTCCGGTGTGCTGAGACGTTCCGGTCACGCATTCCCATGTTGCGTCGCCGACGCCATGGCATTGCCTCCGTTCCAAAGTGAACGGCAGCGCTGCTGCACTGCTGATTCAAAAGCGCCTTGATTGGGTTGTCGTGGTGCCATCTTCAGAGGAGCGCGCAGCCATGGAGGACGGTAAGAGCCGCTTTTTGGTCGTCTCTAGTCTGTGGAAGTCTGATGAGGGTTGTCGTACCTTGCGAATCATCGAAAGAATGCCTTCAGACAGTCAAGTCTGTGAATCGGTTTGAGAAGCAGCTAGCGCGGTCTTCTGTTAAGGAAGCTGTTGGAGCATTTGGTGAGCACGTAGGAAGCGGCACTTGACCAAGCAAAGCATTGGCGGAAGCAGCGACGGGCCAAGTTTTCACTTAACTCTTTGAATCGTTCACGGGTTGAGGAGGCGCTGGTGTTTCGTCACTGGCAATTGGCTCACACCTTGAGCACGCTGTGCTTCATATTCAGTCTGCCACCATCGTAATGTTGGTGCCTCTGAACTGACTTTTGCTGAACGGTGGTGCAGTTCGGGAGGGCAAGGACTACAACTTCCCCAAGGAGGAGGAAGCCATCCTGGCATTGTGGGACAAGTTGGATGCATTCAAGTAAGCCTCTCTACCCAAGCACAAAGTTTCCTGCCTCCGCCCTTCTCCTTTGCCATGCGTCTGATTGCAATGCTTCTGCGATACACTTACCTGCCATCTGGACTGAAGGCTGCTGGCGCCTCTTGCAGGACCCAGTTGAAGAAGACCGAGGGCAAGCCGGAGTTCGTGTTCTTTGATGGCCCCCCCTTTGCCACCGGGTTGCCCCACTACGGCCACATCCTGGCAGGCACTATCAAGGTGCTTGAAACGCTCCAGTCCTTGGTATTGGCAAGCAATTCTAGATCACTATGCAGCTTCCCTCACTGATCAGGGCCTCCCATTGCCTTGGGGCCCTGATCGTCTGGGCTCTTTCAGGGGGCAACGCGCAGCAATTGATCTACCCGTACATGACGCGAGGGCTGGGGTCGTGTCTGTTTGACACAGATTGGGACACCGAGTTGTGGCCTCTCCTGATTGCCCCCGCCTGCGCCTGTGCGGTGTGCAGGACATTGTGACCCGGTATGCCTCCACGACGGGGCACCACGTGGCGCGCCGCTTTGGGTGGGACTGCCACGGGCTGCCCGTGGAGTACGAGATTGACCAGAAGCTGGGGATCAAGTCCAAGGACGACGTGCTGGCGCTGGGCATCGGCAACTACAACGAGGAGTGCCGCGCCATCGTGATGCGCTACTCCAAGGAGTGGGAGAAGACGGTGTCGCGCCTGGGCCGCTGGATCGACTTTGAGAACGACTACAAGACGCTGGACGCGTCGTACATGGAGAGCGTGTGGTGGGTGTTTGCGCAGCTGCACGCCAAGGGCCTCGTCTACAAGGGCTTCAAGGTCATGCCCTACAGCACCGGCTGCACCACCCCGCTCTCCAACTTCGAGGCAGGCCTCAACTACAAGGTGCGCGCCCGAACCCGCTAGCGGAACTTGGCAATTGCTTGAAGGAAGGGGGTGGTGTCCATACGTATGCCGTCTTCCTCTATCCTCTTGTTCGGGAGGGGCTAAGCTGATCGACTTTTGTTTTGATTCGGACCAGCAACCACCTTCGACACCATGTTCCCCCTCAGCCGACCTGTTTTGCTCAGCCTCTGCCCTGCTCCCTTGTCGCCAGGACGTGAGCGACCCCGCTGTCCTGGTGGCCTTCCCCCTGGAGGACGACCCCGACGGCGCTGCGCTAGTGGCGTGGACCACCACCCCCTGGACCCTGCCCAGCAACCTCGCACTCTGCGTCAACGCCGCCTTCACCTACGTCAAGGTCAGCGCTGCGCAGGCTCTGTATCTCGAACTTGCGCGGCACCACTGCGATGGCGCCATGGTGTAACCTGGGGCCAGAGAATGAGGAGCAGGCAAAGATGGCACGGGATGCAATCTGGGGTGTGCGGATCTGGCTTTCTCTGTATGCCAGGTTGTGTTGCAGTCTTTTGACGGCCGTGCGCTTGCTTGCCCGGGGTTGGCAGGTGAAGGATCGGCAGAGCGGGGCGGTGTACATGGTGGCGGAGAGCCGGCTGGCGCAGCTGCCCAGCAAGAAGGCCAAGAAGAGCGCGGACGCAGCGGCGGCAGCACCCAACGGGGTGGCGGCCAAAGATGCGGCCAAGAAGGAGGAGGGCGGCGCCAAGAAGGGCGGCAAGAAGGACAAGAAGGACAAGGACGCCAAGGAGGCCGGCGCTGCGGCTGCACCGGGGCTGGACACTGCCGCGTACGAGGTGCTGGGCAGCTGCAAGGGGGAGCAGCTCAAGGGACGCAAGTGAGGCCGCCACCAGCCTCGAACCCGATGCGCTGAGCTCAGCTTTGACTTACAGCAGTAGTCTACCCACTGGCCCGAGACATCGTTCCAATCGTTGTGTCCCTGTCGTTGGGCTCCTCCATCAACCTCCTCAGCCGCTTCTGCTCGTGATTTGCAGGTACGTTCCCCTGTTCAACTATTTCGACGAGCAGGCGTCCACGGCGTTCCGCGTGCTGGCAGACGACTACGTCACGGACGACAGCGGAACAGGTACGCGGCCAGATCATTGATCGAGAGGCGCACGCCTGTGGGCGCCAGCCCGGTAAGCCAAGTGGAGAGGGCGATAGGGGATGCCTCGGCCGACAAGCATGTGCGTGCTGGGCCACCGCTGACATGCTGTGTGCCTCGTGCCCCGTGTGCAGGGGTGGTGCACTGTGCCCCGGCCTTTGGCGAGGACGATTACCGGGTGTGCCTGGCGGGGGGGATCATCGCCAAGGTGAGGGGCCAGGCAGGCGCCAATCGCACCCGTCGCTCTTCACCAACCACTGCACGAGAGGTCTTAATGCGCAGGGTCCTCCCTCGAAATCCGCTGTCGTTAGTGCGCCTGTCCAAGTGTGGCTCACCAGTTGCGCATGCTGTGTGGATGCAGGGGGGCGACTTCCCGATTGCCGTGGACGACGACGGCCGCTTCACCGCCAAGGTCGTCGACTTCCAGGGCCGCTACGTCAAGGAAGCCGACAAGGACATCATGGCCGCGGTCAAGGCAAGCACCCCACACGCGGCGCGCATTGCTCATGCATGGGCAATCAGGTGCGTTGATGCCCTGGCTCGCTTGCCTGCTGCCCTGATGCTGTTGTGTTGCGCTCACGCGGGTGTGGCGGTGTGCAGGCGCGGGGCCGCTTGGTGTCGGCGGGCACCATTGTTCACCCGTACCCTTTCTGCTGGCGCTCCGAAACGCCCCTCATCTACAAGGCCGTCCCCAGCTGGTAAGCCAAGCCGGCCGAGCGCCACCGTCTCGCGCGTATGGTTGAGATCGACCTTGTGCAGGGCATTACTTGCTGGTCGTGATCTTTTTGCCTAGTCCCGAAAGAAGCCGCTTGCTCAGCGGTCGGCGCTATATCGAGTGGCTTTCTTGCCACCAATAAGAGGGGCTCTGAGCGTTGGCCTGAGGTGCTCGCTGGGCGTGCTGCAGGTTTGTGGCGGTAGAGACGATCAAGGAGCGGCTCCTGGCGGCCAACGCGCAGACACGGTGGGTGCCGGCTTACGTGAAGGAGAAGCGGTTCCAGAACTGGCTGGAGAACGCGCGCGACTGGGCCATCAGCCGCAACCGGTACTGGGGCACGCCGCTGCCCATCTGGCGCTCCGACGACTGGCAGGAGCTGCGCGTTGTCGGCAGTATCGCCGAGCTCGAGCAGCTCTCCGGATTCAAGGCAAGCCGCCGCGCGGCCCAGCCGCTACCGGGCTCAGTGTGTCAGACATGCTCATTTGGTGATTCTTCGGGTAATCTGCGGACGTTCCTGTTCATCGTTGGCGACATGCTGAAGCATTTCTGGCTGGTGATAACCCGACCCGTGTGTGTGCTCGTGCAGGCGACGGACCTGCACCGGCACCACATCGACCACGTGACCATCCCGTCCAAGCGCGGCCCGGAGCACGTGCTGAGACGCTGCGAAGAGGTGCGGCACACCCCGCTGTCAGCCCCCTGACAAACGCCGCACAGCCAGGCCGGGTCGGGTGCACGCCTCCTGCCACCTTCTGGGTCCTTGCTGGAGTCGTGCAGAATGAGAGTTTTGTCAAGGCTACCTAAGGCCAGGCAAGCCCCGGGGCCGCATCTGACGGCTCGGCTGCTGGCTAACGACAGCGTTCTGGTGGCGCAGGTGTTTGACTGCTGGTTCGAGAGCGGTGCCATGCCGTACGCACAGGCGCATTATCCGTTCGAGAACAAGGCGCATATGGAGGCCAATTTCCCCGCAGACTTCGTCGCAGAGGGCCTCGACCAAACGCGCGGCTGGTGAGCCCCCCCTTGCTGCCGTCCGCGCCGCCGCTTCTCGAGCAGCTGGGTTGCTGCTTGCCTAGGGCCACTTGCATCGAATTGCTAATAGTCATATTGCTCCGTACCGGTTGAGTTCGTGCCAGGTTTCTGTAAGTGGTCCACAGTGTAGGATCATGTTTGGGCCGCGGTGGCTGAGCGGCCCGGTGTGGGGCGGTACGTGCAGGTTCTACACGCTGATGGTGCTGTCGACGGCGCTGTTCGACAAGCCCGCGTTCAAGAACCTGATCTGCAACGGGCTGGTCCTCGCGGAGGACGGCAAGAAGATGAGCAAGCGCCTGCGCAACTACCCGCCCCCCACCGAGCTCATCGACGAGTACGGCGCCGACGCGCTGCGGCTGTACCTCATCAACTCGCCCGTCGTCAAGGCCGAGCCGCTGCGCTTCAAGAAGGACGGCGTCTTCGCAGTGGTCAGCTGCTCCGCCGCACTGGCTGCTCGAAAGCAACTGGCTCCTGTCTTGGCGGCCGCTCTCTTTCTGCGTCGTTTTCTGGTCAAGCTCGTTAACTGTCCTCGCTGGCTTTCTTTGCCATGCGACAACCCCCATGCCCCCACCCTGTGCTCTCCTGAACGCCCGTCCCCTCACGTCCCCCATTCCTGCTGTGGTGCAGATCAAGGACGTGTTCCTGCCATGGTACAATGCGTACCGCTTCTTCGTCCAGAACGTGCTGCGGCTGGAGGCCGAGGCCGGGGGCCGCTTCGTGCCGAGCAGCGGGCGCGAGTCGGGCAACGTGCTGGACCACTGGATCCACAGCGCCACCGACAGCCTGGTGCTGGCCGTGCGCGCCGAGATGGCGGCGTACCGCCTGTACACCGTGGTGCCGCTCCTGCTCAAGTTCATCGACGGCCTCACCAACATCTACGTGCGCTACAACAGGAAGCGCCTCAAGGGCGCGCGCGGCGACGCCGACTGCCGCACCGCGCTCTCCACGCTCTACCACGTGAGCCACTCGCCGCCCTTCTCGATGCTGAAGCAGGCCGACGGGCCAGCCCGGGGGCTGCTATTGAGCACGAGAGACACGCGCGTGATCTTTGAGCGAGCATCTCCAATTTCTCGACGGAGCAGCCCCGGGCGGGTTCAAGGAACTGATAAGCAGTCTATGTACTGGTGCGCTACCAGTGCGATGATTACTGAGACGGCGTGCGTGCAGGTGCTGCGCACGGTGTGCTGCGCGATGGCGCCCTTCACGCCCTTCTTCACGGAGGTGATGTACCAGAACCTGCGCCGCGTCGAGGGCCCCTCTGCGGAGGCGAGCGTGCACTTTTGCGAGTTCCCCACCACGCAGGCGGCCGTGGACCCGCGCATCGAGCAGAGCGTGGCGCGCATGCAGACCGTCATCGAGCTGGGCCGGACCATCCGCGAGCGCCGCGCCAAGCCCGTCAAGCAGCCCCTCCGGTAAGCACTCGACAAGGCACTGCTGCCACATGCCCCACTTGCTCCCCGGCACTGCGTCCAAGCTCATGTTTCCTCCACCAAGTCTTTTTGCCTCTGTCTCACGGCGTTCCTGCTTGTTGCGCAGGGCCATGACGGTGGTGCACAGCGACGCCGCGTTCCTGGAGGACATGACCGGCAAGCTGCGCGAGTACGTGCTGGAGGAGCTCAACGTGCGCACGCTGCACGCCTGCAACGACCCCCTCCAGTTCGCCACCCTGCGCGCCGACCCCGACCTCAAGTCAGCCCCCCCCGCCCCCACCTCCGACCACTGCTCATGCGGTGGCCGCTGTGCGGGTGGCCGTGCTGCCTCCGTCCCTCTGTTTGCCAGTCAAGCCGCGCCAGCTGACCATGCTCTGCTCACCTGTCCGGCCCTGGTTCGCCATGCCAATGCATCGTGTGGTGCAGGAGCCGCCAGCTTCCCTTGTGCGCGCACCATGTTGCTGACGCTCTACTTTCAGCCTGGTGACGAGCGCGGGCGGTGCGTGCAGGGTGCTAGGCAAGCGGCTGGGCAAGGCGATGGGCGCGGTAAGCAAGGCGGTGCGCGAGCTGGACACGGCGGCGCTGCTGCAGTACGAGGCGGCGGGGCAGATCGACGTGGCGGGCCACACGCTGGGCAGCGGGGACCTGCGTGTCGTGCGCGAGTTCAAGGCGCCGCCCGGGACGAACCCCGACCACATCAGCGCAGCTGGGGACGGTGAGTACGGACACACTGCGTCGGCAGTGCCGAGCAGGGCAGGGGAAACATAGGGGGCAGCGGGGGGGAGTAATCTACTGCTGGAGTCTGTGTCACAGGACGGGCAAGCAACGGCTGGGCACTGCTTCGCTTCGACAGCTCTGTACCGCCCTTGTTCGCTGCCCCACTGCGTGCCTCATTGTCGCCCCGCCCCACTGTGCAGGCGACGTGCTGGTGGTGCTGGACCTGCGCGAGGACGAGGAGTTGCAGGCCGCCGGCCTCGCCAGAGAGGTGAGATCCGCCCCCGCCTGGGCCGACAGCGGGCAACACGGAGCACCAGGGGAGGGAGGGACTCGTTCCCCGCTTGGCTGCTTTTGGGGCAAGGCTAGCCAGCCAGCGCTTGTTCCTTGTGCTGACGGTGCGGTGCGGGCCTCCGTGCAGGTGGTGAACCGCGTGCAGAAGCTGCGCAAGAGGGCGGGCCTGGCCGCCACGGACGCGGTGGAGGTGTACCTGCGCTGCGCGGGGCCGCCCCAAGAAGGCCTCCTACAGGCGCTCCACGCACAGCGGGACTACGTGGCCGCAGCGCTGGGGATGCCGCTGCTGCCCGCCGCGCACCGGCCTGACACCGCGGTGAGCAGGCAGACAGCACGCATACACCGCAACGCGGAGGGGGCTCCCCTGCATGGACTAACTACTTTTGTAGCGCCACCTGCAGTGTAGCTCCGCCCCTAGTTTATCTCGTCGCACATAGACTATAAATATGCTGGCTCGTCCTTATCTCTGACGACTGCTCACATGCTCGCATGTAGTGCTTCGGGACCAAAGTATCTCTAGCCCTCGCTCGAGCTTGTGTTGACTTGCATCGTGGTGGCAGGTTGTGCTGGCGACAGAGCAGCACGAAGGAGTGGGCGGCACGGACTGCGCGCCCTTCGAGCTGGTGATTGCGCGGCCGGCCCTGGTGTTCACGGACCAGCTGTCTGCGACGTGCGGGGGCAATGCAGAGCATGCGGACAATGTCCGCACCGCGCTGCTGGCGCGAGACCACGCGGCGCTGAAGGCGGAGGCAGCGGCAGCAGAGGGCAAGCTGACGGTGGCCATCGAAGGGCAACCCAAGTACAGCGTGACTGTTGCGAAAGACATGTTCTGGAGTGTTGGAGACAGCTTGAAACACTGATCATCTTATTTCACACGGAAGAGTCATGCAGACGGGTACATTGCAGTTTTGATGGTAACCTGAAACGACAGCCAGACTGAGAAGGACATTGCTTGAAGGATTGAGTAGATTGAGGACGACTGGAGTCGAGAAACCGATCTTCAAAGATATAAAGCGCGACGCTTATGCCCTCGACTCTGCAATCAAAATCTTCATGCTGCTTGCATCGAGGTCGCTTATAAGATAGTACCGCGCTAGGTAGCGAGTATAGTTGCTAGTACATATGTAATACAACTTACGGCACTCACCGGGCGACCACTGCACGCGACTTGGTTCATTCGAGTATCATATACTACATGTGTGTGAAGAATTTGACTCAGTTAAGCTCGCTATTGTCAGGCTTCGAGTCTTGAAAGTGGCATATGCTGCGGAGCGAATTTTATATGATGTTCACGTCCCAGCAGGAATTGTCACACATGCACCACATAAATGGTGGCCGGTACAGTCATTTGAACACTGACAACCAGTACATTGCTCATGGTACGCCCCGGCCGTACTATAATGCACATGATAATAAATCTCATACATCCAACTCGACGCATCGTGTTCGTTTGACGTTTCATATGCTGATTTACATATTCCATTCTACCTTCCCGAGCCCAATCGAATACCTAGCAATTTCGCATGACAGCGTTGATTGATTAATACCAATCACCATACTTCTAGACAATAAATAAAGGGGTGCATGTTAAAGACTGTTTGACTCTGTTCGATTTGACGAGAACCTTGGCAGCCGCACTGGTCGTTTGCTGCTGTCCTGCCAGGGCGGCTCTCCCTCCCACGGCCGCGGGTAGTCCGGGTACACCGGCTCCAGCTGCCGGTTCAGCCGCAGCACCTCCTCGTCGATGGCCGGCATGAACTTGGTCATGCGCAGGCTCATGTCCACGCCGTTCATGCCCTCGTTCTTCATGCGGATGGCCAGCTGCCGCCCGCTGCGCGTGCCCGACTCCCCCGCCTGCTGCATCCCCGGGATCATGGCCACGTGCGCCACCTGGTACCCCGCCAGCCACGTGCGGATGCACAGCTCGTAGTCCAGGAACACGGCGCCCTCGCCCGGCCGCGAGTAGGCCTCATTAAAGCCGCCCACGGTGTCAAACACGCCGCGCCGCATCGCCATCGGCGCCAGGTCCACCTCCAGCACGAACTGCATGTCCACGCCCGCAGCGGCGCTGCGCAGGTACACGTTGTCGCCGTTCAGGGCGCTCATGCGCCAGCCCGTGTCCTGGCTGCTGTACACGCCGCGGTTCAGGCCTGCTATGCCCAGCTGCGGGTAGTGCTGGTACGCCGCCAGGAGGTCGCCGAGCCAGGAGCAGTCCGCGGGGGGCAGCTGGTCGTCCTGCAGGAACACCAGCACGGCGCCTGCGCACACGCACACCAACATGGGCGCCGTCAACTCTCGTTGGCCGGCCACTCTGGAAATTCGGTGTTGCGAGCCGAGCCTGGAAGCCTAATACAGGATTCTGAAAATTGATGCTAAAAGAGCCAGATGATTCGTCTTGACAAGTCTCCAGGCCAATGGAACTTGCTTGTGACCAAGTGTCCCTTTTGCAGGAACCACCCCTCGAGCAACAGCCAACCACCTGCATCCGGTGGCTGTGCGCCCTTTGCCTTGGCCTGCTTGCGGTTGCGCGTCCCCACCTGTGGCCATGCGCCCCAGGCGGTTGTAGCTGCGCTCCTCGTGGATGTTGTGCGAGAAGACGGGCACCACGAAGTCCCCGGTCGCGTTGCGCGCCGCCATCCAGAGGGGCGCGTCCTCGGGGTTGTCCACGTTGGCCAGCAGCTCCGCGGTGAGCCCCGGCATCTGCGCGCGGCACCCGGCCAGCGCGGCCACCAGGGGCGCCACGTTGTCGGGGTGCTTGAAGTACTGCAGGATGAAGCTCACGTTCTTCTCGCCCGGGAACAGGTCCCGCTGCAGGAACCAGTGCTCCTTCCCCACCCGCCACTCCGCGCCCGCTGTCCCCCCGCCCCCTCCTGCTGCGCCTGGCTGGGCCCCTTCCGGACCCTTCAGAGCCGCCCCTGTTGCTGCAGCATTGCCCTCCTCTTCACTGCGCGTGCTGTTGGCCTGCCCCCCTCCGTCCTCGCCAACCAGGGCGTCACTCTCTTGCTCCTCCTCGCCCGTTGCAGGCTCCTCCGTCGACCCGCCTGTTGCGCCTTTCTGCTGCCCCCCCGGTGTTGACAGCCAGACCCTGCGCTCGTCCTCCGAGTAGATGGTGGCCAACAGGGACGGCGGAAAGCCCTCCCCAATGCATTCCCCTGCAAAGCGTCCCTTGAGGCGGTAGTGCATGTCCGCCACGCTCCGCAGCGCAACCTCGCGCTCGTCCAGCCGCTGCCGCCACTCTGCCTCCGCCGTCCGCAGCTGCTCCCGCACCACGTCCCCAGTGCCCGCCTGCACACACCACCCGCCCCGCGCTCAGTCAGCGCAAGGGTCCCAGCTTGGGCAAGGGGCAGGGGCGAGGACAAGAGCAGCGGCGCCTGGTGTGCGCACAAGCGGTGCTACGGGGGGCAGCAAACAGGGGCAGGCGCCCCAAGGGCAAGGCGCCGGGCGTGCTGACCGGGAAGTGATACGCAATGTAGTGCCACTCCTCCCAGGCATGCTGCGTCTCCTCGCTCACAGGGATCCCCCTCGCGCGCGCCGCCACCAGCACGCCCTGCAGGTCAATCTCCACAGCGGGTGCACTGGTGGCATTCTGCGGTTGAGTGGCGTTTTCTGGCTGGGTATGGTTGAGGTACCAGGCCCGCAGGGTGGTGGTCAGGGTGCGCGAGCGGTCGAGGCGATCCATCATGAACCACGCCTCGTCGTGCAGCCTATACGCATGGGGGGAGACGCAGTCAGAGGCATCGCACTAAGGGCGTTCCATGTGGGGGGTCAACAAATGCCAACATGCGTATTATCAAAGTTTCCCACAAAAGCACACAGTAAAGAGCTTAACCTGGGGTTTGCCCTTAATGTGAAGAGCTCAGAAGTGGGGAATGCTACAGATCAGTGGCGTTCAGCTAGCAGTCACCAGATAGTGCGTCCAGTCTCGTTCTCACCTGTTTGCCTGCCACTTCAATTGGATCGCTTCTTGCAACTCAGACTGTGCTGTTGTCAATTGTGCCCACATGCTGAAGCAGGCCCCGATGCTCAGCCCGCCGCCACCCCCCCCCTCTGATGGATCGCACCCGGCTCCGCCTACCCCCTCCTGCAGTGCCCCTGCCTGGCGCCCCACCTGAGCGGGAGCTGCCCCGCCTTCACGCAGCTCGGTGCTGTTCTCTGGCCCCGCTGCCCCCTCCACCTGTTGCAGGCTGCGATCGCTTGTATTCTTCTTGCTGGATGCGCTTCGTGGTGCATCCAGGGCCGCCAGCGCTCCCCCTGCGACCGCCGCCTCGGCTCGCCTGCGGGCCACTGTCCTGCGCGCCTTCTCCAAGCGGCTCTCCCCCCGCGCCACCCGCTCAAAGGGCTGCAACAGATCCGGCGTCCCCTGGTGCAGCGTGGCCCCCTCCATGGCGGCCTGAGGGGGCGTCCACAGCTCCAGCAGCAGCAGGGAGGCAAGGACGGCCACCGCGAGGGGCACGCCCAGAAGGCCCCGCCGCATACTGGCCAGCCAACAGCTCGACGTTCCGGGGCTGTGCAAGATTGAGCCCCGGCGGCTTATGGGCAACCACGTAGGCAACCCCTGGCAATGGACTCAAAACGTGCGTTCACACAAGTTTGTTAGCTGCGAGGGCCAACAAGCGGAACGTTAGAGGTAAGTGCAGATTTGCGGCGTGCGCAGACAATTGCTTAGGCCCACCACTTCAACAAGGAAAGCACGCCGCGAAGGACCGAGCTTGCGCCGGAGGTACCCATCTAAAAGCTGCATCTTTACTGGCAGATTGCGATTGATCTGGCCCGCATTATGGCAGAACCCTAATGAAGAGAGCAACTAGAGGAGCGGCTTTAAAAAGCTGGGTCAGTTATCATAGACTGAGAGTGGCCGGTCATGATCCGAAAGTGGCCACTCCGGCCGGGAGAAGCCGTCGGACCACCGGAGCCTGATCGGGCTCGGTTTTGACCGGTACCGTTTGCATCGACTAACTTACTTGCGCGGTCGATCGAGCACCGTCGACTCGATCATGGTCTTCGGCATGAATAAAAGAGCCCAAGCCTGTTCGATTTCGATGTTAAACTCGATTCAAACCCGATCAGGCTCGGGCTCACCCGAGCCAACCCGAGCCTGATCGGGCTCCGCTTGGTTTTGACCGGAAGATGCGAAGCCTAGCCTAGCTGGAGTCTGGCTCCGAGTCCCGAGTCCCGACTACCATTACCACCCGGGGCCGCCGGCTCAGCTCAGCATGAATCATGACGAGCCGGAAATTCGAGTCGCCGCACCGCCCGGCGCGACTGCTGTGATCGATGAATGTGAAGGTGACGGGACAATCAGCCGGCCCGCACACTGAAGCTAGGACCTCCTGGTCACTGCTTGTTGTCGACCAGTGACAAGTGACCTGTAGGTCAACACTGGACCTGCATGGGGCAGCCTACCGGGACAGGGTGGATGGTTAGCTGCCGGGCTAATCTGTCGGTTCTACTGCACGCGCACCTTTTCCAGGCAATAGACCGTTACCACGGCCCCCCCGGGCCCTAGATTCATTCCAAGAGATTCACTGTTGCTTTTGACCAGTTGCGCAACTCGGCGCAAAGCCGCTTTCCAGCCTCAGGAAGTCAGGATACCGTACCCCTTCGGCCTCTGCTGCAGTGCCAGAGCCTGCCAGCTACCTACCTAGCTGGGAATGTGACTCGCTGTGTCCGGTGCCGCCATATCGCCAGCGCCAGCGCCAGCCTGGCCATTTGAAGGTCTCACGGATCTGTAGAAGGCGGCACAGGCTGCAGCGGAGGAATGGCGACCGCTGCGGCATTGGCTCGGACAGGGTGTGGCGGAGCGGGGTGCCTACGCAGCAATTGGACGCGGGGCAAGGGCAGCGCGGATGGATCCGCAGCCCCAGGCCGGCTGGGCAGCATTAGCAGCCCAATCGGGGGCGAGGGCAGCCCTGCTTGGCGGCAGGCGTGCAAGGATGTGGCGCCAAAGCGGCCTCAGGGCGTGCCGATGCCTGCAGGGTGCAGGGCGACTGCGGGAGCAGCAGTGCGCGCAGAGCACACCAGTGCAGCCGATGGTAATGGAGCGGCCCCCTTCACGGCGTGGGACTCGCCCACGCTGTCCAAGGTGTCCAAGAGAACGGACCTCAAGAAGATCATGATCCTGGGGGCGGGGCCCATTGTGATCGGGCAGGCCTGCGAGTTTGACTACTCAGGTGAGGCAAAAAGCACAGCGTGCACCGTCGTGCTGGCGGATGATGCTGCTGCTGCAACAGCTGGCACACCAGGGGGGAAAGAGGCCCAGCCAAGAGTGCAAGGCAGAAACAATTGGGGCGGCAAGTGGGCAGGGCAGGGAAACATCTCGCTTAGTGGGCTGGATCTATGCTGCCAAAGTTGGACTAGGATGCCAAGATCTGACAGGGCAGCCCCTGGAAATGACTTTTGTGTACTGTCTTTCCTTGAGAGAGAATGATGTGAATGCCAGCATTAGATCCTGTGGGTACAATTGGGGCTTTTGAAGTAGTTCTTGGAGACCAAGTTCACCAGCATTTTGTTGTACTGCATCTGTCGATCACTTGGTGCCGTCCTCCTGTGCAATGCTGTGAGTGGCATGGTCTTTTATTGTGGGATCCCCCCCGGCCTGATCCAGTGGAGGCGCACGGTGGTGGGTGCAGGGACGCAGGCGTGCAAGGCGCTGAAGCAGGAGGGGTACCAGGTGGTGCTGCTCAACAGCAACCCCGCCACCATCATGACGGACCCCGGCACCGCGGACCGCACCTACGTGGCGCCCATGACGCCCGAGCTGGCCACCAAGATCATCGAGCAGGAGCGGCCCGATGCCCTGCTGCCCACCATGGGCGGCCAGACGGCGCTCAACCTCGCAGTCTCCCTCAGCGAGAGCGGCGTGCTGGAGAAGTGAGACACGCCACACCCCGCCTCACTCTGCGTATCTGCAACAGCCTGTCAAAGCTGACCCATTGCATCAAGTTTGGCCAACATGAACTCTGAGAATCGGGATGTGGCTCGGGCTCCAGCAGTCCAGCTTTTCTGTGGACCACACGGCCTGTCGCCTTGTGTCCCTGTGTGGCAAGAGAGAAGGGCGGTGGGTGACGCGCTTGGCGGTGGTGCAGGTACGGTGTGGAGCTGATTGGCGCGAAGCTGCCGGCCATCCAGAAGGCGGAGGACCGCGACTTGTTCAAGAAGGCGATGGAGAAGATCGGCGTGAAGAGCGCGCCGTCGGGGGTGGCCACCACCATGGACGAGGCCTGGCAGATCGCGGGGCAGATCGGGGACTTCCCGCTCATCATCCGGCCCGCGTTCACGCTGGGCGGCAGCGGCGGCGGCATTGCGTACAACAAGGACGAGTTTGAGACGATCTGCAAGTCGGGCCTGGCGGCGAGCAGCAACAGCCAGATTTTGGTGGAGAAGAGCCTGCTGGGGTGGAAGGAGTACGAGCTGGAGGTGATGCGCGACCTGGCGGACAACGTGGTCATCATCTGCTCCATCGAGAACATCGACCCCATGGGCGTGCACACCGGCGACTCCATCACGGTGGCGCCCGCGCAGACGCTCACGGACCGCGAGTACCAGCGCCTGCGCGACTACAGCGTGGCCATCATCCGCGAGATCGGGGTGGAGTGCGGCGGCAGCAACGTGCAGTTCAGCGTCAACCCCGAGGACGGCGAGGTGGTGGTCATCGAGATGAACCCGCGCGTGAGCCGCTCCTCCGCGCTCGCGTCCAAGGCCACCGGCTTCCCCATTGCCAAGATGGCCGCCAAGCTGGCGGTGGGCTACACGCTGGACCGCATCCCCAACGACATCACCCTCAAGACGCCCGCCTCCTTCGAGCCCTCCATCGACTACGTCGTCACCAAGGTCAGCGCCCCCGCCCACGCACTCATCTGATTCCTGATTATCTTTGAGCTGTTGGACGGGGATCGGAAGGTCTTTCGACTGTCAGCAATTCAGCTTGGAAACAAGTCCAAAGCTACCTCAGCATCGGACTAAGCCTTTAGACGATAATCATGTATTAGCTGTAGGAAAGACGTTTCACTCCGTTTGCCCGTGCACCAAAGTGGACGGCAATCAAGTGAGGTTGACCAAGATTGATTGTAAGCTAGAGATAGACACGTCACTTGAGGTATTGAAATTTGGAAAGGGAATGTTAAGATGGTTTCTATGCGCTTTCCTTGGCTCGTGATTCAGGTGCTGCATGCCAAGCCCTGCTCTGCTGCCACACTCATAGCCCCCGCCTGGCGACTTGGCGCTTACCTTCTTCTACATCTGCTGCTGCAGATCCCACGCTTTGCGTTTGAGAAGTTCCCCGGCTCGGAGCCGATCCTGACGACGCAGATGAAGTCGGTGGGCGAGGCGATGGCCATTGGGCGCACGTTCGAGGAGTCGTTCCAGAAGGCGCTGCGCAGCCTGGAGACGGGCCACGCCGGCTTTGGCTGCGGCCCCGTGAAGGAGCTGGGGTGGGACTGGGAGCGGCTGAAGCGCGCCATGCGCGTGCCCAACCCGGAGCGCATGGCCGCCATCTACGCGGCGCTGCGCAAGGGCATGCCGCTCGCCGAGGTGCAGCAGCTGACCATGATGGACCCCTGGTTCCTGCACAAGCTGGAAAGCCTGGTGGGCATCGAGAAGTGGATGGGGACGCGCGCCCTGCCCGACCTCACCAAGGCCGACCTGCTGGCCATCAAGCGGCGGGGCTTCAGCGACAAGCAGATCGCGTACGCGGTGAAGGCCAGCGAGGAGGCGGTGCGCGAGGCGCGGCTGGGGCTGGGCGTGGTGCCCGCGTACAAGCGCGTGGACACGTGCGCCGCCGAGTTCGAGGCGTTCACGCCGTACCAGTACTCCAGCTACGACGCCGAGTGCGAGAGCGAGCCGACGGCCGCCAAGAAGGTGCTCATCCTGGGGGGCGGCCCGAACCGCATCGGGCAGGGCATCGAGTTCGACTACTGCTGCTGCCACGCGAGCTTCAGCCTGCAGGACGCGGGGTACGAGACGATCATGATGAACAGCAACCCGGAGACGGTCTCCACCGACTACGACACCAGCAACCGGCTCTACTTCGAGCCGCTGACGGTGGAGGACGTGATCAACATCATCACGCTGGAGCGGCCCGACGGGATCATCGTGCAGTTCGGCGGGCAGACGCCGCTCAAGCTCGCGCTGCCCATCCAGCGCTTCCTGGAGAAGGCGCAACTCCCTGCCGCGTCCGGGGAGGGCCTCGTGCGCATCTGGGGCACCCCGCCCGACGCCATCGACGCAGCGGAGGACCGCGAAAGGTGAGCTCGCACACAGCAGCCGTGCACGAGCAGCAAGGCGGAAGTCACGGCCTTCTCTAAGCTGCTCGGAGCACATGAAGAGATCTTTGTTGTCCATGAGTTGCAAGACTTCGGAGTGAATTCAGATGGCAGGTTCTACAGAACAGCGCGCAGCAGAGTTTATATTAACCCTCCTTTGTCGCCCTTTATCCCCACTGCCGGCTGGACAGAGTTGTCCCGGCTTGTCAATGCGTCGATGCTTCTGCTCAGAGCGGCGCGGCGGTGTGCAGGTTCGAGGTGATGCTGCGCGAGCTGGGCATCGAGCAGCCCCCTGGCGGCATTGCGGAGAGCGAGGAGGCGGCGCTGGCCATCGCAGCCCGCGTGGGGTACCCCGTGGTGGTGCGGCCCAGCTACGTGCTGGGCGGGCGCGCAATGGAGATCGTGTACGACGACGCGCGCCTGGGCTCCTACCTGGAGACGGCCGTGGAGGTGGACCCGGAGCGGCCCGTGCTGGTGGACAAGTACCTGCAGGACGCGACCGAGCTGGACGTCGACGCGCTGGCGGACGGGCAGGGCGGGGTCGTCATCGGGGGGATCATGGAGCACATCGAGCAGGCGGGCGTGCACAGCGGCGACAGCGCGTGCAGCCTTCCCACGCAGACCATCGGGCCGGAGCAGCTGGCCACGGTGCGCGAGTGGACGCGCGCGCTGGCGCTCAAGCTGGGTGTTTGCGGCCTGATGAACATCCAGTACGCGGTAATGCCCGAGGGGCAGGTGTACATCATCGAGGCCAACCCGCGCGCCAGCCGCACCGTGCCCTTCGTCAGCAAGGCCATCGGGCACCCGCTCGCCAAGTATGCGAGCCTCGTCATGTCGGGCCGCTCGCTGGCGGACATCGGGTTCACGGAGGAGGTGCTGCCCGCGCACGTCAGCGTCAAGGAGGCCGTGCTGCCCTTCGACAAGTTCCCCGGCGCCGACACCCTGCTCGGGCCCGAGATGCGCTCCACCGGCGAGGTCATGGGCATCGACGACAAGTGAGCCGCCCCGCCCCGGCTCGTCCAGCATGCACCATCTCGTTGCTCCGCCGCTAAACTGCGCATCCAGTCTGCGTCTTGGCTTGTCCTGCCACGCTTGCCAAGCAGCCCCGGTCTCCACGCTGAGCAGCGCCCCTCCTTCTGCTGATTGTGCAGCTTCGCCATGGCGTTTGCCAAGGCGCAGCTGGCGGCCAACCAGCGGCTGCCGCTCAAGGGCGCCATCTTCGTGAGCATGAACGACGCGCTGAAGGAGCGCAGCGTGCCCGTCGTGCGTGGCTTTGCGGACCTGGGCTTCTCCATCTACGCCACGGGGGGCACCGCCGCCACGCTGCGCGCGGCAGGCATCCCCGTCAACACCGTGCTCAAGCTGCACGAAGGCAGGCCGCACATCGGTACGTGCGCCGCGCTCGAGCGGGTGCCCGGGGAGGATGAAGTCAGGAAGCCTTGCATGGCAAGCCTTTCCTTGATCAAGTTGTTAGGAGTCATTTGAATTTGCGTCTTACGCCGGAGCTACTTGGCTTGATGATGATCACGTGTCCATGTGGTGTTGGGTGCGCAGGGGACATGATTACGAACGGGCAGATCGCGTTGATGTTTATCACCAGCACGACTGGGGACGCGCTAGACGCCAAAGACGGGCGGGCCTTGCGGCGCACCGCTTTGGCGTATCGCGTGCCTATCGTGACGACCATCCAGGCCGGGTCCGCCAACCTGCGGGCCATCAAGGGCATGATCGACAGCCCCATCAAGATGCGCGCGCTGCAAGACTACTTCCAAGTACCAGAAACGGCCAAAGTCTAATGATGCGGGTACCAATACGGCCGGCCTTCACACAACCTTTGTTTGTGCACGTGTGAGCCATATAAGCAGATTCTTGAGCGAGAATAAGAGATGAAACCTGTAGTCAGCAGATTACCTAAATCCGGAGTGTTGCGAAGTGCAACACTTAGTTGGATGACATTCTAGACAATGAGTTTTTTTGGGGTTTCTAACATGCCAGGACGGGACCTGATTCGTGTCAGCAACGTTAAATGATTTTACTAAATGCATATTGGTATTGTATGGTCGGATTGGCAATCAAGGTGTGGATCTGAACTTCAGCTGAGCGGCAGGCTCTCTATTTCTTCATTGTTTGAAGCGACAAGGACTTTTGCTAGAAGCATATGCTTAGTAATGCTACCGTAGTACACGTGCACTTCAATAGATTTATAGCTAGCAAACCCTTTCAACTCGAATAGGTGTAAGCCTTGGCCGCTTGGTCCACGAACATGGATCTTACCTGACGCCTTGATCCGTGAATGCATGGCCGATTCTTGCTTTCACGAATATAGGATGTATGCAAGATTGAGGTACACATGAGCAATATGGATGTACGTACTTGATCACACCAGATCAACATACGGAACGTTTGCCGGAACCTCAGGCCTAGCTATAAGTGAAAACGATTTTTGTACCCTCAACACCATCATATGCCGCTTTGTGCCATGTGTAGCTTCGCATGCCATGATGAGGCTCAACTTTGCAATGTGGGCCCCGAGCATTATTTATCTAACTTACATAATGTCCATGATACTCAACTATTGAATGTTTCCCATTAAATTAATAAATCGCCAGACGGTTTTGCAAGGGTTTAAATTTTGCACAGAATGTAGGTGAACGGCAAAAGTTTTACAAGATAACGAGGACCGTTTAAGCGTTACACGACGTGTGTTAGGGGTCTAATCGAAGGAAATTTGTAATCGAGCACGCATGATCAAAACTAATCTAGGGCACCCAGGAATAATCACTAGAAAGAGATGCATCGATGTAGAGTTCAATAGTCGTTTTGTGGCACAACCATCCCGGATGGGCGTCCGCAGTTCACGATGACCTTTTCAGTCTATATGTCGAGTCCAAAAGTGTCGTCCGAATCCGGGTCCCCGCTCCGCCGAGTAGACGGCGGATCGTACAGCCAATTTCGATCGAGTGTAAAATTTCGGGACAATTCACGGTTTTCGAAGCTAGTCCGATTTTGCCCGTACGTCACGAAACTCCCCTGCGTATCATTGTTGTACATTCGTGTATCAGAACCATACAAACTGTGTTCATGTACGACTTGTGTACCCCTTGTGTACCACATTGATACGACTCCGATACAACTGCTGTGGCGCTGAAGCAATACAGTGGCGTTGCATACGAAATGTATGAATTGTCATACGATGCAAGCTGTGTACAGTTGTTGTATGCAAATTGTACAAGCACGACGTAACTTTCGTGCATCCTTTTTCAGTGCGTCAGCGAGGCATCAGCTTTGTGCATCTCATGCGGCGCCCGGCAGAATCACTTCAATCAGATCTAGTAGTTTAATTCTATTTCTGAATAGAACCATGTCATGGCGCCCTGTTTCGGCACGTCTTTGACAAGCTTTCCTGACTTTCCCTAGCTTGCACGGCCGTCAGCCAATGGTGTATTTCGACTGGCCGGCGGCGGAAGACCGGCGGCACGCCCCTCTCGACACCCTCTGGCCGAGCTCTGGCCTCGTACTACTGTAACATACTAAGCAGTGACTGGCAGAGCCTGAGTGCCAATTGACTCAACGAGGCGGGCAAGCGTCCAGTTGATCCCCAGTCACTGACTGCTAGCGGGCCGCGCGTGCGGGGCCCCCATGAGCGCCGGCGCGCCGGCCAGCCTGGCTGGAACGCCGCGGCCGCTCGGGTCATCAGACGCACCGGGCGGTTTGACTCAGGGTTTGAGCCTCGGCCCCTGAACGTTTATCCTGACGACGATCGACGGTCAAAATTCAAATGGAACTGACTCTCAAGACTCGACCTCACTCGGAGTCGAGGGAAGACACTTGCAAGTTGCCTAGCCACCAGAGCTAGTTCACTAGGTAGCCGCCAAATGGGCAAAGATTGACAGCAGATTCTGGCGGGAGGCGGCGGTCCATTGAAGAATCAGCAGATTGGGAGCACCTCAATGGAAGATTTTCAAGGGAGCAGCTCCAGTGGGTAAGTACCAGCTGAAAAGTGTTTTGCCTTTATCTAGCTAGCTTCCAGTTTCATGATGGATCAACGTCTGAGAACTTTGCAGGCAGCGCGGCAACCAAGAGCACAGCAATAACGCTATTAAGTGCTGAAGACTTCAAGTTCTTCTTTCTTTCGTGCTGACTGATGTTCTTCTTATGAGCTGCAACGCGCAACGCATCCTTGTTCAGTATTGTCCAAGCTTCAATAGATTCAACAATCATCAAGTGAAAAGCC